TTAAAATATTTTTTACTGTAAATTGCAGTATGCTTATTATTATACCTCATATACAGACTTTTCTTCTTGTCTTTCAGTTTGGCTTCAGACTTGACTGGCATTTGGTTGAAGTGACAGGAGAACAGAATCATACTTGTTATCTTGTATTCTGACAGCATTATTGCTGAGGAGAATACTGATGATTTTATTTACTTGGATTGGAACTAGGGTGCTCTACCACTGAGCTACATCCCCAGCCTTTTATTTTGAGACAGGGTCTCACTGAGCTGCTGATGCTGGTCTCAAGTAACTAGAGTATACCACCCCACCCAGGGAGAATAATGAAAAGGTTTCACCCCAGTATTTAAAAAAAAACAACACTTAACTGTCTTGATTTTTATGTGATGCTGAGGAGCAGATCCAGTGCTTCATGCATGCTAGGTGATCACTCTACCACTGAGCCACAACCCCAGCCCCAAAAGAGCTATTTTTTATTTGGTGCTAGGGATTTAACCTAAGCCTTGTACAAAAACATGTGCTGTGCACCGACCTTCACACCCTAACCCCAAATTTTATTGGGTGCCAGGGATTGTCTCTGGGGGCTGGGGAGCTTAATCATTGAGCCATATCCCCAGCCCTTTGTATTTTTGGAGAGAGGGTCTTACTAAATTGTTTACGACCTCGCCAAGCTATTTGATATGGGGTTTTCCTAAGTTGTTTAAGACCTAGCTAAGTGAAGACTGGCTTTGAATTTCCAATCCTCCTGCCTCAGTCTCCCAAGTCCCTGCGATTATATCCATGCAAACTATGCCCAGCTCCAAATTCATTTTTTTACCAATTATAAAACAAAACTACATATTAGTGGAGTAATGTAATATTTCCAAGTGTGTGTATGTATACATACACTCCGTACATGTATAATATTTTAATCAGGCTAAACATACCTGTTAAACATTTGTTTTTTCATGGTGAAAACTTTGGAATTTTTGTATGTAACTGTCTGTGGTCATATTCTGCTGTGTAGTAACACTAGAACTTGTTCCTATCTAACTAACTTAGTGTATTCATTGGTCAGTTTTTCCCAATCTCTGGAAACTACCATTTCTGCCTAACTTCTATAAGATCAACTTTTCTTCCCCCCCCCCTTCTTATTTAATTCTACACATATCTATCTTTCCTGGGTTTTTTCATGTATTGTCCACTTCTACCTCAAATTTTTTTTTTTAGTGGGTTGACACAATGATGCTGAGGATTAAACCCAGTGTCTCGCGCATGCTAGGCAAGCACTCTACCTCTGAGCCACAATCCCAGCCCCATCCACTTCTATTGTTAAGCAACAGAATTCCATCTGTTTTATTCATTAGTTGACAAGACATTCTGCTTGTTTCCATTTCTTGGCTATTGTGAATAGTGCTACAATGGACATGGGAATTCAGATGTCTCTTTGGTCAACTGATTTAATTTCCTCTGGATATATACCCAGTAGTGGGATTGCTGAATTATATGGTGTAGCTTAAGAAGCTGGTGTCTCTCTCTGGCACAGGCTGCCCTGAAATTCCTAGGTTTAAGTGATCTCCCACCTTAGCCTCTCAAATGCTGGAACTACAGGTAGGTACCACCACATACCTGCCTTTTGTTTGTTATTTAAGACAGGGTCTGACTAAGTTACCAAGCTTAGGCTGGCCTCCTACTTGGTCCTCCTACCTTGACCTCCCAAGTCATTTGGATTCCAGGTGCATGTGGTACATCTCACTATTTCTATTTCACTCATCCTTAACCTTCTGCATTATTAAAAAAAAATGGGGACATTATTTATTGCATGTTGTTTTGCGTAGTAATGAAAAGTTATGTAAAGTTGTTTTTGCCTTTTTTTTTTTTTTTTCTCCAGCCACAGAAACCTGTGCCCAAGCTTGTCTGACATCTGCCTTGTCAAGTGTCCATGATGCTGGGCCCTGAGGGAGGTGAAGGTTTTGTGGTCAAACTCCGTGGCCTGCCCTGGTCCTGCTCAATTGAGGACGTGCAGAACTTTCTCTCCGACTGCACAATTCACGATGGGGTTGCAGGTGTCCATTTCATTTACACTAGAGAAGGCAGGCAGAGTGGTGAGGCTTTTGTTGAACTTGAATCAGAAGATGATGTAAAAATGGCCCTGAAAAAAGACAGGGAAAGCATGGGACACCGATACATCGAGGTGTTCAAGTCACACAGAACCGAGATGGATTGGGTGTTGAAGCACAGTGGTCCAAACAGCGCCGACACTGCCAATGACGGCTTCGTGCGGCTTCGGGGACTCCCGTTTGGATGCACAAAGGAAGAAATCGTTCAGTTCTTCTCAGGGTTGGAAATTGTGCCAAACGGGATCACATTGCCTGTGGACCCCGAGGGCAAGATTACAGGGGAGGCCTTCGTGCAGTTTGCCTCACAGGAATTAGCTGAAAAGGCTCTAGGGAAGCACAAGGAGAGAATAGGGCATAGGTATATCGAAGTGTTTAAGAGCAGTCAGGAGGAAGTTAGGTCATATTCTGATCCGCCTCTGAAGTTCATGTCTGTGCAGCGGCCGGGGCCCTATGACCGGCCAGGCACAGCCCGGAGGTACATTGGCATCGTGAAGCAGGCGGGCCTGGAGAGGATGAGGTCTGGTGCCTACAGTGCAGGCTATGGGGGCTATGAGGAGTACAGCGGCCTGAGTGATGGCTACGGCTTTACCACCGACCTGTTTGGGAGAGACCTCAGTTACTGTCTCTCAGGAATGTATGACCATAGATATGGAGATGGTGAATTCACAGTGCAGAGCACCACTGGCCACTGTGTCCACATGAGGGGGCTGCCCTACAAAGCAACAGAGAACGACATTTACAACTTCTTCTCTCCACTCAACCCTGTGAGAGTCCATATTGAGATTGGCCCTGATGGTAGAGTGACGGGCGAAGCAGATGTTGAGTTTGCCACCCATGAAGAAGCTGTGGCAGCTATGTCAAAAGACAGGGCCAACATGCAGCACAGATACATAGAACTCTTCCTGAATTCAACAACAGGGGCCAGCAATGGGGCTTATAGCAGCCAGGTGATGCAGGGCATGGGGGTGTCAGCTGCCCAGGCCACCTATAGTGGCCTGGAGAGCCAGTCAGTGAGTGGCTGTTATGGGGCCGGCTATAGCGGTCAGAACAGCATGGGTGGATATGACTAGTTTTGTAGTAACATTTGAGTTATTTCAATCAAATTTTCACAGGCAGCCAACAAGCAGTGAAAGCAGTTTATAACTAGAGAAAGCTGTGGGACCCATTTTGCACCATGAGTTTGTGAAATCTGGATTAAAAAATTACCTCTTCAGTGTTTTCTCATGCAAACTTTTCTTCTAGCATGTGATATTGAGTAAACTAAAAACTATTTTCTTCCGCTTTTCTTGATTAACATTTTGGTAGTATACTTCAGAGTGATGTTATCTGAGTTAAAGTAGTTTTAAGTATGTTAAATGTGGATCTTTTACACAACACCACAGTGAACACATTGGGGAGATGTACTTTTTTGGAGAACTCAAAGGTGCTAGATCCCTAATTCAAAGAGAAACATTTCTCATGTTTGTTTGTTCTATTTTTTTTTCTTCTTCATTTAAAATTTTTAGGTTAAGATTAAGCTTTTTAAAGTTAGTTTTGAGAACTGAGACACAATACTAATACTGTAGGAATTGGTGAGGCCTTGACTTAAAGCTTTCTTTGTATTGTGATTTCCTTTTGGGTGTATTTTGCTAAGTGAAACTTGTTAAATTTTTTGTTAACTAAATTTTTTTCTTAAAATAAAGACTTTTTCACAATGACTGGCACAGATTATCTACTCAGCAAAGGTAGCAAAATGGGTGGTTGGAAAGAACTCATTTTAATCCTAATGTATTTTAGTGTCAATTTGAAAATTACTTAGTTATCAAATATATGATCTTTATATTCTTAGAATTGAGGTTAAAATAAAAGTAATAAAAATGTTCAATATGTGCATGGTGGAAATGGTGACTGGAAACATCCCAGCAAATATGAAGGACACAACCCCAGCCACCTTTGACTTGCATGCATTTGTGTATTTTGTTATCTATTTTTTGTGCTCCGTACTTAAGTTGTTTGCAATATCCCACTTTTCCCTATGATGCTAGAGTTCAATATTGTTCATAGCTAGAGCCGTTAGCCACAGCTCTTTTCACATGTTTTATAAAATGTGCTGTTTAAATGTTCTGGATTTTTTTTTTTTTAAGATTATTTCCATAGGAACATCATTCCTGAATTAGAATTAGCAATGACAGATTTTTACAGGATGTGCATACTTTCTTTTACTTTTTGTATTACTGGAGATTGAACTCAGTCATTTTACCACAGAGCTATATATCCCTAGCCTTTATTTTGACTCAGGGCCTTGTAGCAAGTTGATCTTGAATTTATATTCCTCCCCCCTCAGCTTCTCAAGTAGCTGGAATTACAGATATGTGTTGTGTACCTAGCTGGTTTGTACATATTCTTAAATTTGAGGCCTTTTTTCAAATTGCTACTAAAATTACTATGTCCAAATTCACTTCCAGGCAGTTCTACACCTTTTTTCATTTTATAACACTTAAACCATTAGGAGTTTAAGAATGTGAATGGAGGTTATTTTAGAAGCATTCTGTGTAAAAATGCTTTGCTATTATTTTCCCAAATTTCACATTTAAAAAAAAATTATAAGTGAACACAATACCTTTTGTCTTTAATGTGGTGCTGAGTATCAAACCCAGTTCCTTACCACATGATAGGCAAGTGCTCTACCACTGAGCCACAACCCTATTTTTCACATAAGTCAAAATATTATTTTAAGGATTTTCATCTGGTGTCCTAATTCCTGCTTTTGCAAAGAAAATGTTCTTGATGAAGTCCCTAGGGGTTTTGTGTAAAAAAAAAAAAAAAAAGTGACTTATAGACCTGAATCTAGCAATCTCAGGCCTCATTGGACTTCACAGGCCCACCTGACGAGCCAGCCTTTTCTCCAGTGTTGTGGGTTCTCCAATGGCACAACAAGGTAGGAGCATTGGCCTCTAATATATGAGTATAGGGCTATAAGTGGGTACTGTGGGAGGGGGTCCTGGAACACCCTGATTTTCACCATGCTCCAGATGTGGAGCAACAGTGCATCACGGGGAAGCAGAGATCCACAGGTTGTAAAGGAGCATTAGAGGAACTGATGGAATTCAATTCCAGGTGAGGTTTGGGCTGCCATGAAAAAGACTTTCATTGGGCAGTGGGCTTTCAAGGAACCTGCTTTCAGTATTCATAAGGATGGGTTCCAGGAACTTTGGTAGAATTTGGAGTGGGGAACCTACAGTGACAAGTAGGCCTATCATTGGAAGGTCAGTCATGCTAATATACGGGTTGATGTATGCCCTATGTTGTCTCATTTGCAGAATGGGTTGGTAAACCTGATCCACAATCTAAGTCTTCAGATGCATCAACTTTACCAGGAACTTAGAATCCCTCAAAGATGAAGAGCTGTAGTAAAAAGGATTTTACTGTTTTACACAGTGCTGGCAATGGAATCTAAAAATGTCCTATCACTGAGCTATACGCATAGGGCTTTATTTAATAAACAGGCTCTCCCCAAACAGGTCTCAACTTGGTCATAGTAAAAATACGAAGACAAGGTTTGCCTCACTTTCCAAATCCTGAAATAAAAGTTTGTCCACCCAGCTCAGCATGGTGGTGGTGGGAGTTCAAAGCCAGCCTTACCACTCTGCCTGTCTTTTCTAGTGTAAATGGGCTTGGGGTGTGGCTCAGTGGTTAAGTGCCCTTGCATTAAATCCCCAGTACCAGAAAAATGTTAATAGTCAATCCCAGTTGTAGAAAACTGGAAATGGGTGAGGACGTAGCTCTGGTAGAGTGCTTACCTAGCATGTAGGATGCCCTGGGTTTCATCCCTAGGGGGGGGGGGGGGGAGAGGCACTTGGTACAGAAGGAAGAGGAAGTTTATTTTCATCAAAGATTCTGAGGAGCCTGATGTTACAAATTTCGAATCAATTAGGATCATAGCATATGAAAAGGCCTTATGACATCTGTTGATTGGAATATCTCCCATATTACAGCTTAGTGGCAAGGGCACATAGCTAGGAAATGGTCTCTGTTGAAACGGGTGGTTATACTAGGAAACCCTGGGGCCAGAGAAAACAGCAAAGAATATTTTCTGGAAGTGACCAGGGACACTGGATTGATACAGAGGGATGTGCTGGAGGAGTGGCATCAGCATTTTGAGAAGCTTAATGGAAGATCAGCCCAAGGATTCCACACATAGGTAGTGTTGGCCATCAGGGGTGGTAAACATGATTGTAGTAATGGCAGTGAGGGACCTTGATCATCCTGGATCTGTGGCAAAGGCTAGCAATGAGGACAACTAATGAAGGTATATCTTGGCTAAAATAGCCAAAGGAGAAGACTGGAAACAACTGACATCGACCATGTTTTTCTTGTGGTTGGTTTTATGTTCTTAGTACTGAGGATTGAAACAGGCACTCTACCACTGAGCTACATCCTGAGGTCCCTGATGTCAGCCATTTTAGCAGAATCTTGTTCTATTTACAACCAGTTCTCAGACCCAAAGACCATGATCAGTTGAGGAAAGGCATGGCACCATTACAACTACACAATATTTTACTATATTTCTCTCCAGGGCCAGGGCAGAAGGAATGAATGATCCCAGTCTCTCGGGGCTGTTGGACATTGGGTCTAAGTCAGCATGAATATCGGGACCCATTATTCCCTGATGACCCCTTTGTTAGAGAACAATTCCAGAAAGGTAGAGTGGCCTTGGATTCTCTGAATGGATAACTGTGTCTCAGGTTTTATAGACCGTTATGATGTCAAAACCCAAGTGTGAGTGGGCAAGGGTACTCCAGAAAGCCAATCTCACTGGGTCCCTGGTTTGTGAAGAGTCACAATGGTAGGAAAGACCAAGAACAACCCAAATGGTTTTCCCCATCCAGGAAAGTAAATCAGCATTGTGCAACTTTTGAGGTTAGGAACATGTATAGAGACCAAAAAATTTCAATTTTTTTTCCTGCTGTATTGAACCAAAGCAGCACACATGCTAGGCAAGTGCTCTACCACTATATTCCCAGCCCTGCATCTTGCAACAATTTGTGGTAGGACATTTTGGATTTTGAAGAAAGATTGACACTTGAAAAACTGTTGCCCAATTGCCAAAAGGCTGCAAGAGTTCTGTCAGCTGCTCTGCCATCTGCTACAAATGACAGAGCAGGCCCTACCACAGAGGTACCTGTGTTCATAAATGATTCCAGCTGAGTACAGTGGCACATGCTATAATCCCGGAGACTCAGAGGCTGAGGCAGGTGATTCTCAGTTCAAGTCAAACCTGGGCAACTTAGTGAGATCCTGTCTCAAAAAAGTAAAAAGCTCAGTAGTTAAAGCGCCCTTGGGTTCAATTCGTAGGACCAAAATATAAAGGAGAGGAGGCTGCAAATGAAGCTCAATGGTAGAGTACTCCTGGTACTACCAAAAAATAAGATGATTTTATGTGGTGACTGAGAAAGCTAAATAAACAGTTCAAATCCCAAGTGTCTGAATCAAGGCCACATCTTCTGCAGGAGAGAGCTAGTAGTTATTAAAAAATCAGCCCTTAGCCAGGCACAGTGGCATATGCCTGTAATTCCAGCAACTCCAAAGGTGGGAACAGGAGGACAAAAGTTCAAACCACCCTCAGCAACTTAATGAGACCCTGTCTCAAAGTTAAAAAAAAAAGAAAGAAAGCTAGGGATGTAGCTTAGTGGTAAAACACCCTGGGTTCAATCTCCAGCAGCCACCCACTTAAAAAAAAAAAAAAAAAAATCAGCCCCTGAGTACTACTGAATTCATCAGAGCTGGGCCCAGTGCATGGGAGACCAAGTCACCCTGTAGTAAGACCAACTTCATGTGCCAGGTGCTGGCGGGTGCATTTATGTTTCCCAGTCTGGTTTAGAACTCCTGGACTCAAGCAATCCTCCTGCCTTAGTCTCCCAAGTAGCTAGGGTTACAGGCATATGCCCCTGTGTCCAGCTTATTTGTATTTTCTACATACAAAATCATATGACATTATGTAGCTCAATGATAGTGTTTGCCTGGCATGCAGGAAGCCCTAGGCTTAATCCCCAGGACCACAGAATAAATAAAAATATCATTCACAAATAATGACAGTTTTGCCAGGCTCAGTGGCACCAGAGGCTGAGGCAGGAGGATTGCAAGTTCAGCCTCAGCAAAAACGAGGTCCTAGGCAACTTAGTGAGACCCTGTCTCTAAATAAAAAACAAAATAAGGCTGGGGAGGTGGCTCAGTGGTTGAGTGCCCCTGAGTTTAATGCCCAGGACCCCCCAAAATAATAATACTGACAGTTTTATTAATTTCTTTTAATCCTTATGTATGGACATCATTCTGTCTATGCTTAGATTTGTTGCTATTTTAGCACTAGAAAATTTGATGCTAGCTGGCACGGTAGCCCAGATTTATAATCCTAGCATCAAGTTTTTGAGACAGGGTTTGGTCTCACTAAGTTGCTTAAGGTCTCACTAAATTCTGAGACTCGCCTTGAATTTGCAATTCTCCTGCCTCAGTCTCCCAAGCCTCTGGAATTACAGGTATATCACTGCACAGACACCCAACCACAATTATATTTAGGTTTTCTTCTAATCATTTCAACATGTGTATCTTCTGTTTGTTTAAAAATGTCTATTTATGGCCGGATACAGTGGAACACACCTATAATCCCAGTGGTTCAGGAGGCTGAGGCAGAAGGATCTGGAGGCCAGACTCAGCAATTTATCGAGGCCTTAAGCAACTTATTTATTTTTAAATAAATAAAAAGTGCTGGGGATGTGGCTCAGTGGTTAAGCACCCCTGGATTCAATTCCTGATTCAAAAAATAAAAATGTCTTTTTCTGGCCAGGTGCTGTGGTACATGCCTATAATCTTAGCAACTCAGGAGGCTGAGGCAGGAAGATTGCAAATTCAAAGGCCCTACGCAATTTAGCAAGACCCTTTCTCAAAAAA